GCGAGATTGGCTCCATTATTATCAAATAATGGAGACATACAATATGGACAAAAAAGTTGGTTTCCAGGTGGAAAAATCAAAATTGGAAACAGAATTGTTAGAACCAAAAATTAAGAATTTGTCAAGAATGTATAACTTGCTGTTGAAATGGAACACTCAGGATGAAATGGTGAAATCAGCTATGATTAAATGGGCACAAGATGTTGGACATAACATAATGATGGCTGACTGGGAACAGTTATGGACCACAGGTATGAAATTCACGGCATGTAATGCCCTAAGAGAAAATTTAATGAAAATGAGTTATAGGTGGTACATGACACCAGTCAAGCTTGCAAAAATTTACCATTTGCCCAACAATAAATGTTGGAAATGTAATGAGACTGAAGGTACATTCTTTCACCTTTGGTGGACATGCCCAAGGATTAAGACATTCTGGGAAATGATTTATAACGAAATGAAAAAGGTATTTAAATATACCTTCCTGAAGAAACCAGAGGCCTTTCTCCTGGGCATGGTCGGCCAATTGGTGCCAAAGAAGGATAGAACTTTTTTTATGTATGCAACTACAGCAGCAAGAATACTCATCGCGAAATATTGGAAGACACAAGATTTACCCACCCGGGAAGAATGGCAGATGAAGTTGATGGACTATATGGAATTGGCGGAAATGACTGGCAGAATCCGAGACCAGGGAGAAGAGTCGGTGGAAGAAGACTGGAAAAAATTTAAAGACTATTTACAGAAATACTGTAAAATTAATGAATGTTAGAAAAATGTTGGAATGAAGTTATATGGCTTTAGTAGAAATGTTATAAGGAATTAAGTATAAATAGATTAATAGAGAATTAAAGGGAAAAATAAGGTTAAAATGTGTTAAGATAATTATAGGATAGAAAACAGAGGAAGATGGAAAGGAATTGCTGAAACAATTAATAGAAGTGGAATACAAAAAGGGAGGTGTGAGGTCGTCACTGAAATAAGGGAATGAAAGATAAGATATTGAAACTGTTTGATGTGTGTTAAATTGTTTTTTGTTTTGTTTTGTTAGTTTAATGTGTTAGTGTTATGTATTGTTTTTGTATTGTATTGTTTATTCTTTTTTTGTAATGTTTAAACTGTTGGAAAAGTAATAAATATAATTAAAAAAAAAAAGAGCAGGAACAAACGTTGCCACCTTTGCATAAAATTACAAGAAGCCAGGCTGCAACAAACAAGTTGGCTTGCAGCAGAGGGCTAGCATGATTAGAAAACAAGTGCTATCCCTGTGACAGTTCCAGAGAATGAAAAGGAAACACCAACAGGAGTGATTAGGTACTAACTTAAATCAGTGCTAATGTCATTTTCCTTTCATGCAAAAGGATTGCATCAGAAGATCAGGGTCCCTATTCCCAAGACTACTTATTTTACCTTCTAGACCAAGGGTGAGGAACCTCCAGCCCATGGGCCAAACATGCAAGGCCATTTCTCTGAAACCACACCTACCTGCCCCACACTTGATGCCATATGTGACTACAGGTGTGGGCCAGGTAGAGAAGCAGCTGCACAAAGCAGGACTGAACTCCCCGCGTATTAACTGCTGTGTGAAGAGTTCAATCCTGCTTTGTGCAGGATCTCCTCCCGCCCCTGGTGGGCCAACTTTTGGCAAGTGGCTGGGACAACTCACCCAACATCAATATAATGCCTGATGACTGGCAGGTGAGTGGTCCTGCCCACCTGTCAAAGTTGGCTCACTGGGGTGGAGGAGATAAAGGCTGGTCCACCAGGCCAGGATCTAGACTATTCCTGGTTTCACGGATAGAAAAAAATACAAGTGTTCTTACCCTCTTTATGTTCAGTTTCCCCCAGTACAATATACAGAGCCCCAAGCTGGGCTTGGAATGGTTCCACAAACTTGGTACAAACTTGGATAATGTGCTGAACTGAAGTCTGCTGAGCTGTTAAGATGGCTTGGGAGCTGACCACATCATAGGAGTGTAGCCTGAAAAACAAAAAATTGGGTCTCAAATAATGTTGATAATAATAAATAAAGAATGTGAAATTATGTGCAGAATGATTTTGTTTCAAGTTGGCCGTTGTTGCTTCAGTTTTTTGTACACTGCTTATAGATATTTTTAATATATTAAGTAGTACAGAAATTAAATAATCAAATAATGTATTTAAATACAGTGGTGCCCCGCAAGACGGATGCCTCGCAAGACGAAAAACTCGCTAGACGAAAGGGTTTTGCGGTTTTTGAGCTGCTTCGCAAGACGAATTTCCCTATGGGCTTGCTTCGCAAGACGAAAACGTCTTGCAAGTTTGTTTCCTTTTTCGTAAAACCGTTAAAACCCAAGGTGCATTGCTGGAAGAGGTGCACTTGCGACTTGACTTCGAGGAGCAACTCATAGCACGCGGTGCGGTAGCCTTTTTTGAGGTTTTTAAAGACTTTGGCGATTTTTGAAGCTTTTCCAAAACTTCTTTTGCAACCATTTGGTAAGTTAAACTTTTAAAACTTTTTTGGGGGGTTTTGGATTTTGGGTTGGGGTGTTTGGAATTCAAGGACTTGGTGTTGGGGAGGGGTTTGCAAGAATCTGGAAGCTTGTTTTTTCCCCCTGCATTTTTATGATTTTTTGTGACCATTGGGCCACTCTGCTGTTTTTTTAAAAAAAAATTCTGGGTTTGAATTTCTGTGTGGTGGGTGGCTGGGGGAACAGTTGAGGAGGGGTTTGCAAGAATCTGGGAGCTTGTGTGGTTTTTTTTGGAATTTTTATGATTTTCTGTGACCATTGGGCCATGTTTTTTTTAAAAAAAAATTCTGGGTTTGAATTTCTGTGTGGTGGGTGGCTGGGGGAACAGTTGAGGAGGGGTTTGCAAGAATCTGGGAGCTTGTGGTTTGTTTGTTGTTGGTTTTTTTGAATTTTTTTGATTTTCTGTGACCATTGGGCCATGTTGGTTTTTTTTAAAAAAAAAATTCTGGGTTTGAATTTCTGCGTGGTGGGTGGCTGGGGGAACAGTTGAGGAGGGGTTTGCAAGAATCTGGAAGCTTGTGTGGTGTTTTTTTTTTGAATTTTTTTGATTTTCTGTGACCATTGGGCCATGTTGGTTTTTTTTAAAAAAAAAATTCTGGGTTTGAATTTCTGCGTGGTGGGTGGCTGGGGGAACAGTTGAGGAGGGGTTTGCAAGAATCTGGAAGCTTGTGTGGTGTTTTTTTTTGAATTTTTTTGATTTTCTGTGACCACTGGGCCATGTTGGTTTTTTTTTAAAAAAAAAATTCTGGGTTTGAATTTCTGTGTGGTGGGTGGCTGGGTGCTTTTGAATTTTTTGGATGTGAAGCACTGATTTTTTTTTTTTTTTTTAGTTTGCGAAGGAGGAGCTGTGCTGCCATGGGACCCAAGAAGACTGCTGCTGCAGAGGCCGGCGAGAGGAAGAAGGAGAAGGTGACGCTGGAAATGAAGAAGGAGATCATCCGGAAGCACGATGGTGGAATGCGTGTGACAGACCTCGCCAGGGAGTACGGGAGGAATCCATCGACCATCGGGACCATCCTGAAGATGAGGGAGAAGATCCTTGCGACTGATGCAGCCAAGGGAGTCACCAGGATCGTAAAGAACCGCCCAGCTGTTCTGGAGGAGGTCGAGAAGTTGCTGCTCATCTGGTTAGGAGAGAAGCAGCTTGCAGGGGACACAGTGACTGAGGCCGTCATTTGTGAGAAGGCCAAGGCCTTGCACGCAGACCTCGTCCGGGAACAGCCAGGAACCTCAGGCGAGCCAGAAGTCTTCAAGGCAAGCAGAGGTTGGTTTGACCGGTTCAAGGCAAGATCTGGAATCCACAGCGTGGTCAGGCATGGAGAGGCTGCCAGTTCTGATGTTCCTGCGGCTGAAGACTTTGCCTTGGAGTTCCTGGAGGCTGTGAAGACAGAGGGCTACGTTCCACAGCAGGTCTTCAACTGCGACGAGACCGGGCTGTTTTGGAAGAGGATGCCCAAAAGGACTTTCATCACACAGGAGGAGGCCAAGTTGCCTGGCCACAAGCCCATGAAGGACCGTCTGACCCTGCTTTTCTGTGCCAACGCAGGCGGCGACCTGAAGATCAAGCCCCTGCTGGTGTACCACTCGGAGAACCCACGGGCCTTCAAGAAACACAAGGTCGACAAGGAGCAGCTGAGTGTCATGTGGCGATCCAACAGTAAGGCTTGGGTCACACGTGTGCTGTTTGTGGACTGGGTCAATCTTGCTTTTGGCCCTGCTGTCAAACAGTACCTGCTGGACAATGACCTGCTGCTGAAGGCTTTGCTTCTGATGGACAATGCTCCTGCTCATCCTAAAGGCCTTGAGTTGGACTTGTTGGAGGAGTTCAGCTTCATCAGAATCATGTTCCTGCCACCTAACACCACGCCACTGCTCCAGCCGATGGATCAGCAGGTCATCGCCAATTTCAAAAAACTCTACACCAAGGAGCTTTTCAGGCGATGCTTCGAGGTGACTGATTGCACCACCATCACCCTGCGGGAATTCTGGAAGGACCACTTAGACATCGTCACCTGCTTGAAGATGATCACCACGGCCTGGAACGGGATCAGCCAGAGAAATTTGAATTGCGCTTGGCGCAGCCTGTGGCCGGACTGTGTGGCACCAAGTGACTCTGATGCACCAGAGTCAACAGTGGTGCAGGACATTGTTGCCTTGGGGAGGACCATGGGCCTGGAGGTCACAGAGGAGGACATCAGCGAGCTGGTGGAGGAGCACGACCACGAGCTGACCACCCAGGAGCTGGTCGAACTGCAGGCAGAGGCTGCGCAGGAGCAGGCCTCGCTGGAAGAGGAGGAAGCAACTGAGGAACGGCTGTCCTCCAAAGAACTGAGGGACATTTGCATGAAGTGGAAGGATGTGCAGGCTTTGCACAGCGGCACCACCCTGACAAGCACGTGGCACATGACCTTGTGAACACTTTTGATACGAGGGTCATGTCGCCTTTCAGGGAGGTGCTGAAAAGGCGGATGAAGCAGCAGACCATGGACAGGTTCTTCAGCAAGAAGCAAAGAGTGGAAGAGGAACCTTCTTCGAGTGGTCCCCCAGAGTCTTAGAAAATGTACTGTACACTTTGTTGATTTTTAAATGTTTTTCTGTCATGTTTAGAAACTTAATTTATTGTTCCTTCAATTTTTGAAATGCTCTTTACAGTATGTGTGACTTTAAAGAGCACTTAATAAACTCTTGTTGTACCAAATTTGGCTTTGTTTGGACTTTTTGACCATAGGAACGCATTAATTGAATTTCAATGCATTCCTATGGGATTTCGTGCTTCGCAAGACGAAAAATTCGCTAGACGAAAAAACTCGCGGAACGAATTAATTTCGTCTTGCGAGGCACCACTGTATAGAGAAATTAGATTTACCTATAACTGCTTCCCAATGATAAACACATTGGGTAGTGATCAGCTAGGTTTTACTCAGAGACCCATTTAAATCATATATATTTGAATGAATATAATTTAGTTGTGCTTATTAATTTCAGTGGGTTGACTCTAAGTAAAACTTCTTTGAACACCATCCAGTTAACTAAAAATAAATAAATGATTTGAAAGTTTTTTTCCGCAGCTAAGCATGTCTAATAATGCTATACTGAATGAGTGCCTGAGCTCAAAATACATACAATATGACATTTAGGATAATTAACTCAATGTTAGCCTAATGTTTCTTTCTTTTAACTCACATATTCATCTCTGTGCCAGAAAAATAAAAATGAATATTTTACATGTGACGTTATGGATTACACAAATAATGAGGCATACGGCGGAACAGTACCTATAGATTACAGTAGAGCCTAGCATGCATGAAGTACACATTTTAATTTTTCCCCTCCCCCTTCCTATAAATTATAATTGTTACTGATACAAAATACCTCTTACTAAGGGTAAACAAAGCAATAAATGTTGCTAGACATAATTTCATATCTGTAATAATTGTAATGATTTTGGCATATACACTTTGACATAACTTTGTTAATCTATTCAGAAATGTTTATTTGAGTGTTTATCGTTGTTTCATTTTAAATTTTATATCATTGTTGCACATCATATCCTCTAATGTAAACAATGCAACCATGTTAAAAAGTTTAAAAGTGAAGATGAATAAAAACTATGTTACTAAAACAACAACAACAAATACTTTGCAACATCTAATGGTGGTGCAACACATGGATTAATAAACTAACAAGGACACTATGCAACAGATGAGAGTCTAGTCCTAAGTAGGAGGGGGGGAAGAGTGAAGTGGTAGGTGATTCATTTTATTTAAAATCATTTCTATACCACTTTTCATTTAAAAATAAATCTCAAGGCAGTTTACAACAATAACATGATAACAATAATGATCTGTCACTTCCCAATCCCTTCCAGTTTGTACCATCTAGGGCAGGAGGTGTGGGGAGCAGATGTACCTCTTTTGGGTTGTCTTTTTTAAAGAGCTCCACTCCCCACACCTGCTCCAGTAAATCCAAGGAAGCCAGCATCTCACACATCTAAGCCCCCAAAACTACTGCATTTTATGGACTACCACTAGCTCCCACCACCAGTAGAGCTAGCAGTGGCCTGGATTGCGGATGTCTCCCCACAACCACCACACCCCAACACCAGCATAGGCCTTCCTCACCAAGAGAGGGGCACTTCCACACAGTCATAACCCGCTCTATCCTGCTGATCTCAAGGTTGGGCTTAATCGTTACAGATATAGTAAACGGGAGACAGGAAACAAAACAAGTTTTTTTTCACAGATGTGCAGGGTAGGGGAGAAGAAATCAAACTCGTTATGCTTTCTCTTACATGTGGCATTTGGTTATTTATGAATTTGGTTCTTTTATGGAATCTAAAGGAAGGAATCAGAAGGAAAAGAAGAGACAAAAAGAGTAGCAGTAGTAATGTTAGATAGGATGACCAAAAGAAACAGAAATCTTAAGGTCGAAAGGAATTACACTGACCTGCCAAAGGTTCTCAGGGTCTTCCCTTCTGGGATCAATGCAGAGTTGATTTCCCAAGGAAAGTGATATGTCCCAGCATCTGGCAGCATTTTGCGCAACTGTTCTTGAGAACAGACCCTACAGTCAGACAAAAAATGAAATGAGTATTTAAAAGATTATCTTTCCGCTTCAAGGCTCCAAGGTAATTAGATTCCCCTACTATGCAACAGCAGGTGTTACTTTTTCAGTTGACAGGCTTCTTTAATTATGCTCAAATCGATTCTAATAGACTACTACCTATTTTGTTCATGATAATAACCTCATTTTAAGTACTTTGCAAGGTTCCCAGCCATCTTGGCCATTGGAATAGGGAAGATGGGAGTTGTAGTCCAGCATCAACTGAAGGTCCACAGGTTCCACATCTCTGCTGTGGTAGCTATTACTATTTTACAGATCTGATGATAGGATTGCTATCTACCATACCTTTATCTTATAGCATCTCACTCTTCAGACGCCACTGCACAAGAAAGTGTCACATACAGTATTATATTATATACTGTTTAGGGAAGTTTTTAATATTTAATGCTGTATTGTTTTTAACACCCGATTGGGAGCCGCCCAAAGTGGCTGGGGAAACTCAGCCAGATGGGCGGGGTATAAATTATTATTATTATATCATCAAATACAGACTATTATTTATTTTTTGAATATCCCACTTTTTTCTCCAAGGAGTTCAAAGTGGCGCACATGGTTCTTTCCCTCCTCATTTAATCCCTATAACAATGCTGGCAGACAGGTTAGGCTGTGAACTTCTTTGCTGAGTGAGGATTTGAACCCTGGTCTCCCAGGTGCTAATCCAACATTCTAACCATTACACCACAATGTCTCTAAGCAAACTAGGTAGCAGAGTGCCAAAATAAAAAATATGTAGAAGGAACCAAAGTACAACCATAGAAAGAGGGGCGAGTCTACCTTGAGGACGCCATTACAAATGGAAAGCCAGAACAAAAAGAGTTTAATAGGACTTCCGGGGTGGCGCCTCCGGAAAATGGCGGAATTCCCTTCGAACTGAAGGGAACCTGCTGCACGGAGGCTTGGGTCCTGTCGCTACGGCGCAGCGGGGACCCTTAAAAACCACAGGCGGAAGAAGCCTGTGGGCGTGGGACTCGGCGGGCACCGAGAGCGCTCTCTCCCCTTGTACAGGAGCCCGGTAACGGGCTCCGGAGTGGGAGGTGCGTGGTGCTGTGAGTCGTCTGCTTCCTCCGTGCAGCAAAGCCGCACTGCCGTTTTCGGAGAGCGCTGCCTTTTTCCTGGACAATTTGGCATCTAAAACATCTATCCGTGAGTACCCGATCTTGGAAGAGCTGAACTACTTTTAAGATTGGTGAATAAATGAATAACATTGGACTTGAACTTGAAATTGAATTTAATTGGGACTCGGAACGGAAAGGTCTAAACAGGAAGTCGCCTTCCGTTCTTTTGTTACGTGAAGAAAGCAAAGACAAATTATACTAAAGTCTGAAAACTAAATTCTGAGAGAACTAAAATTCAACATCTAAGATTTCTGAACCCCCCCTTTTGATTGCAGGAGAAGAAGGGGGTTGTTTTGATCTTTTTAACCCTGCGGAAGTGAGTTTAAAATAAAGTAATTTTCCACCGCCCTGAACCAGGAGCGGGCTGTCAGAACTGACGTTTTGAAGCTTATCCAGCTCGACAGATAGTTAAAAGAAGGGTAACATTTTGATTCTACTGTTGCCTCTTGAATTTGAAAGGGGGAATTTTGGACAAAGTGTTTCTGGAAAAAGAAAGATTGTTACTGTTGTTTTTCCCCCTTTTAAAAAATTTAAAAAATAAAAAAAATAAAAAGGGTTTTCCATCTAGTGGAACTGAGTGAAATTGCAATGCAGAGAGTTTAAAAGAGAAGGATCATTCTCGTGGGAAAGAATTTTTTCTGACCTTGAAAGACAATGCTTGTACAAAGGCTTGAACAAGTGTTCCTGGAAGGTTTTGCAAAATTAAGTGCCCAGCTGGACCAGATGCGTCAGGAGTCGACCTTGATGAGGACGGAAGTTACCAGAGCACAGCAGCAAACAAATGAAATTCAGTTAAAGTCTATACAAGTATATGAACCTGCTGTAGCGACGGAGGCTTCAGAGATGGAGGGACCTATGGATGGGCAAGATCAGTCTTTGAACTTGATAAATGAACTTGGGACAAACCTGATTCGGAAAGATGAAATGTGGTCAGATTTGGAAATGGGGGGATGGAGTGACACCCCTCTATATGGTTATTTGGACTTTCCGAGTCTAGTGATGGGCCATCAGAGGAATGGAGTAGTTGAAGTCTCCAAGTTTTGTGGAAATTGGAAGTGGTATTATCTGTTGTCTGGCTTGGGTAATGGGTTTGGGATGGACTTGCTGCAAAGAGTCAAAAGCATCTTCTTGCTGGAGTATCCACGACGGAAAGGGAAATATCAACAAGAGTGGCGAAAGGGGCAAGAAAGAGACTTGAGGGCCTCGGATATGAGACAACCAGGTTAAGGAGCTGGATTATTGAGGTTAAAAGGACTGACAATCCCGGGTCCAGGGGAGGGGAGGCTGGAAGTTGACTGGATTGAATTTGATTTATTGTTTTTGCTTTTTTATTTTTTAATACTGGGAATGTTTATAAATGTTTGAAGGATGTTGAATGAAATTATATGACTTAAGTAAGGATTGGTAAACGATTTGAAAAAAGGTAATGATGTAAGAATTTGCTAAATATTGAATATAAGCTTTGAGTTTTAAAGTTTTTATATGACAAGAGGGAAAATAGAATAAGGAAATGCAATGATAGATTGTTATGAAAAAACAGAAAGGATTTGCTGTAAAAATTAAATACTAAGAAACAAGAGAGGGAAGGAGGAGGAAGTCTAGAAAGGAAGTTAATGGAGATAGTAAAGGATTTTATATTGCTGTTTTTCTGTTTTTCTTTTTTTTTTTTTTGCGGCTGGGTTTTTTCTTCTTTATCATTTCTGTATTATTTTTGTTTTACTTGTATTTTCAAACTTTTTTGGAAATTTTTGTTGTTACTTGTTACTTTTTGAAAATTTAATAAATATTAATTCTAAAAAAACA